ATACTATAAAGCTATATAGTATAAGAAATTGTCATTAAAACAGGAGCCTCTGTTTATGTGACATCCTAGGTTTCTGACAGAAACACCAAATTGTAATATACCTAGCAACCTTAGTTATTTTTTTACACTTATAATTTAAATACAGCACAAAATAGCACTTTCCTGTAATTTACCTCTGCAACTGTAGCTGTGATAATCCTGCTTGGAATTGGTTAGTAGTCTGTCATGTGCAGCATTTGCCTTACAACAAACATCTGCCCTCAGTGGGGCAGTTCAGTTGTAATGCTGGTGCTTTTCAAACTGTGGTTAGGTAATCAGTGCTAGGCTGTGGGGTAACATGCTTCCTCTAGAGTGAAATTATCTCCCACATTTAATTGTACATTAATGCTTATTATTAAGATTAGATAGTGTCCCCACTTAACCTAGCTTTGTTAATCGATTCCAGACTCTAATCTCAAATCCTGATTAAAGAAGGAAACTGGCTAGTCTTACATTGGCATGAAGGTAAAATTTATTCCAGGGTGACCAAGATGATCAAGGGTCTGTAAACCAAGCCTTATGAGGAATGGTTGAAGGAACTGGGTATGTTTAGCCTGGGAAAGAGAAGATATGATAGCCAAATATCTAAAGGGTTGTCACACGGAGGATGGAGTGAGCTTGTTTTCTCCTGCTGCAGAGGGTTGAATCCAAACCAGTGGATTCAAGTTACAGGAAAGGAGATTTCAACTAAATATCAGGAAGAACTTTCTGATGGCATAGCTGTTCAATAGTGGAACGAACCGCCCCCCCGCCCGAAGGTGGTGGACTCTCCTTCCTTGAAGGTTTTAAAGCAGAGATTGGATGGCTATCTGTCATGGATGCTTTAACTGAGATTCCTGCATTGCAAGAGGTTGAACTAGATGTCCCTCATGGTCCCTTCTAACTCTACAATTCTAAAAATTAAAAAGACTTGGAAAATAAAAAAATATTCACTTTGTGCTAAAAAGATCACAATGTAAGCAGAAGATGTGCCTTCTGGGAGGGCATTCAGCTATCCCTAAATATTCACCTGTAGATCTTTCATACAGTGGAATTGTATGATAATACTGTCTGTAGCTTTAGGTTGTCTGCTGAAATGAAGTAATTTTTCTGTGAAAATTAAAAGACCAGAAATTGTTCACATGATGTCCATTATACCGTAAGTGGCAAACTGCCATTTGCAGCATGGTTGAGTTGATGTAATCTGTTGGTCTTTCCCTAAGACTTTTCCATTTACATGATAATTCCATGAATTACTATTTGTGTCTTGCCAGGATCAGAGAACGAAAGAAAGTAAAAACAAGTAATAGGTTTTCCTTAAGTAAAATGAAAGCTGGTAGGAGTGCAGCAAAGTGAAGGGAGTGAAAATGGTTGACTGTTTGCATGTTGCTGTTATACGTGTATTTGACATCCCTGGAAACCAGCTGTATGGGTGTTTTAGTGTGTTCTCCACATGTTGTGGAAACAATAGCATGAAACAAGAGGTCAAATAAAAAACCCCAAACCTTTAGTTTTTAAAGTATGTGAGATAAGTAAGCTTATCTAAAGAATCTTGCTGAAGTGTTTTAGGATAATCAGTTCTAGAACATTGTAATATCTCATGACCATCATGGCTAGCAGCTCTTGATAGCCTTATCCATGGGTAGGCAAACTAAGGCCCGTGGGCTGGATCAGGCCCAATTGCCTTCTGGATCTGTCCCGTGGACGGTCTGGGAATCGCTGCGTGGATCGCCAGCGTACGCATTCTTTCCCTCCCTCACACGGCGGCGGCACCTCCCTCCCTCCTCCTGGCTTCTGCCTGCCCTGCCTGGAGGAGGAAGGGGGCTGGGCTTCGTTGGTGCCAGCAGCAGTAGCGCTTGAGCGGCCGCCATTTTAAGCAGCCCCTCTCTGGAGCCCTTTCGCCAGTAAATTTTTTAACTTGTTCACTTATCTCCTAAAATGTCCATTTCTTTGTATGGTTTCAGTTATTCTATATTTTTAAGAATGGACTTGTGGTAGCTCATGAATGCTTTGTGCTGCTTTGGGGATATAAATCTAAAATAAAATCTCTTTTCCTCAAGAACTAGGACGTTGCATTTGTCATTTTCTCTTTTAACCACAAGATGGCACTTGGATATAAATATGTAACTTCAGCTTCTGAAGATTTTAGTTTGCCTGAAATATTTCACCCTTGCTAAGTTTTGCTCTTCAGAGTGCACATGGAAGCTTTTCAGACAGCAGTAGTTTACTTCTGTGGTAATGTTAACTTGGGTACTAGTTTTGTATTACTGCTTTGGTAGGTAGCAAGCTACTACTGTTCCTTTGTCTCAGAGCATCCACTTTGCATTCAGAAGGCCCCAGATTCAACTCCTGACAGGAATGGAAAGGCCCCCCATCTGAAACCCTGAAGAGCTGCTGCCAGTCAGGGTAGAGTATACTGAACCAGTGGAGCAGTAGTCTGACTCAGTAAAGGGCTGCTTCCTATGTTTCTAAAAGCAGTGGCTGTTCCATAGTTCTTCACAAAATAAAGTCACAGTAGATCAAAAATTCTTCCCAAATATTATTTCTACTTGGAAGGATACATTCTAGCCCTAAGCCAAAAATGCCATCTCTTAAAAGCATCCCAGAGGAAACAGCAGTAATCATTGCCAGATCTTCCAAGAGTAGTTTAACACTTGTCAAATGCACACTTTACAGTGGTAGAAGGGTAAGCCAGCAGTATAGTGCAAGTTTCACACCTTCTGTATTACTACAGAAGTAGAGAACCCTATTCTTGGCCTCCTTGGCATCAGCAGCATGACTGACTCATGTGCCTTCAGATCTTAGTTTTCCCTAATGTTGAAGAGAATTTGGAGTAGCCTTAACTCATGCAGAGATCAACATAGGACATCCAAATTTCAGTTTCTCTTAATGGTCACCTTTCATTGATTTATTATGTACTATATATAGAAAAAACCATTGTAATTTGATCATATTTTAGTCCTATATTTGAGTATTTTCTACTTATTTTATCTATTAATGAAACATTTTCTTTTTTCTGAACCAGTGTAACAAAAATGTTTCAGCTATTGTTACGGACCTTAGCATTGTGATAGAATCTGACAAATATTTGGATTTAAGCAAGCTTGTATCAAGGTAAGACTTCTACTAATATATAGAGGAATATCTTTCTTTGCTTTGGACAATGTCAGTTACACACAACATATAGTATGTTCCAAGTCCCACTGAGTTCAGTGAGACATTCAGCTACGTGGTAAAGTAAGGCAATGAATCCCTTTTAGCCCAAGGGGTAACTTTTATTCCCTTGAGGGTAATTTTCCAGGGGCCATATGTCAGTGGTTGGTGGGGCCAGCATCAACAGATGTGGCTCATAGTTTAGCAGACTACATTCCAGTGGTGCATCTATACACTTATCCATTCAGGTAACAAAAAGGCACTATCCCAGTCAAAGGACACATTCCACCAAGGGAAAAGCATTTCACACTGGGCAGGTGACTGACGTGGCCTGGGGAGAGGATGTATGGCCTAGGGAGAGTCCTGAGGGTGGGATAGGGAGGGCTACATTCAGCCCCTGGGCTTGATGTCCCTCACGCACATGTGGTATAAAATTGCTATCTTAATTAAATTGCTGGCATATATGGTTATACAAGATAATACAGCTTTTATGTTTGAGAATGAACTACCTTATTCTAAAGGTGCACCAATCTGCGATTTGGGAATCACTCACCTGCAGTGTCTCTGCCTTAGGTTCAGCTTCAGTCTATCAGCCCTTGTCCAGCCCACCACTGCTGCCAGGCACGGGTTCAGCTTGTGCCTACCTGCTCCTGACTCAGTTTTAATGGAGAAACAGTCTTGGTGGCATCAGCACAGTGATGACATTGTACCCCAGACTTCCCAGTGATTGCTCCCAATGGCTTCATACTGATGCTAAACAACCCTGGAAATTTTTTAAAGAGTGCTTTGTGGTACCCTGCAACTATGTTGCCAGATTGTAGGCACATAGTTTCCCAATGCCATTTTCTGAGACATGCCATGCAAGTATTTATTTGCCATATGCTGAAGGGGCACCTTTTTATCTTGGCTTTTGACAGCTGATACACATATTTTCAGTATCCACCCTATTTGTTGACTGTAATTTGTTTTAAACTGATGTTTAAGGGGAGGAGAGAAGTCAAACTGAGTATGTATTGATTTACATGTGATTATTGGAAAACTGAAAACTAAAAACTTAATAATAATGATGATGATGTATTTTAAAATTGCTGAAATGCACCCTGGAAAATTATAGGTGAAGGGCACATAAGAAATTAGAGAAAAAATAATATGTAAGAACAAAACCGCCATAAAACAGTGCCTCCAATTCCTAACTCATAGAGATGGTCCAGGAGGATACCATGGTCAGTGGTATGAAAGGCTGCTGAGACTTATAACAGGAGCAGCAGGATTTCAGTTCCCCATCGCTACTTGAGAAAAGGTCATTTGTCAGGGCAACCAAGGCCAAGTCTGGAACAAAACCATGCCTGAACCCAGACTGGAATGTGCCCAGATAGTTTCCTCTAAAAGTACCTGAAGAGGAATTGCTGCCACACTCACAAATACTTTATATGTAAGATGTTCATAGGTTAGAGAACTTATCATGTGAGTTTTTTTAACTCTTCTTTCCTTCCCCTTTAAAATAACCGCAGAAATGGGGGTAGTGACAGTCAAATAGGAGGTTTGTGTAGGGAAATCAAGTGTTAGAAATATGATTTAGTCCTGGTCCAGTGAATTGTGGGGAATCACTATGGGCATGTTTCTAGAAGCAATTCTTAAAGTCAAGGGAGTCACTACAGCATCCCTTGCCTTTGAGAATTGCTACTCAAAATGCACCTGAGGAAGGCTTTCTCTCCCCCTCCCCCAGTAACAACAGCAGGCTTGGAATAAATAATATTTACAAGCACATAGTTCCCCCCTCCTTTCCCTTTCAAATCAAACCAAATGGAAGTCAAAAGCAAACACAAAACCCTCAATATGGCTATTTTTATTTTTTAACTATTTAGATCCTTTAGAAACATGCTTGGCCGCAAAATTAAGGTAAAGATAAATGAAAAAAATAAGCTCAGCATCTTTGCAGTACATAAATGTAGGTTTTCTTGTGAGGATTTCTATTTCAGCATGTGGTATTTCCCTGAGCCTAACTGATCTTGAATTTCTCTGCTGGTTGCAGTACATTTGACTCTTTCTCTTCATCTGTGGAAATAGGCAGTGGCATCTCAGAAGTTCTGCCCATTTCTGAGAGCAACTTAAAAAGTGGCAGCCAATGTTTAGTATAATCTGTTGTATGGGTCACACAAAGTGATTTACTGTGTTGATTTCATGCAGTAACAGTTTTCATATGTATATAGTGCCCATTGATATTTAGCAAACCAGACTGGGTTTACTTTGGCATACCAGCTCTTGCCTAACATAATTGATGTGGCACATTCACCAAAATAATGATGGGAAAGAGTTTCCCCAAAAAATCTTATAAACGAGTGTTTGGCTTTCATGCTAGATTTGATTGTTAAATCATCATCACACAACTAACTCATTGCGTAATTATTTCAAAAGCTGCTTACTTGATGCAGTATGAAGCATTTAAACTTGACTTTTGCCTACCAGCCAACTGAAATTTGAGTCCATCAGTAGTGTGCCAGAAGTGAGTATTAAATCACATCTGGATCCAATTAAGCACTGAAAGACTCTTACATTTGTAGGTAGTGGAGGAGGGTAAAACATGAAGCATTTTTTGCCATAACTGGAAGGGTCACTGCTTTTGACCCCCCCACCCCAGTATGGGTGCAAAAACGTAATCATGCTTTGGTACTCTAAAACCCCCCCTTTTTTTTTGTAAGACTTAATGTAGAATCCAACAATTCTGAAACATTTCCTTGTTCAACATCATTAAAAGTTATCACACGTAGCTTGTGGTTCATAAGTTGTTGTTTTTTGCATGTGTTACAATTTTCTTTTAACAACTTCATTTTCATGTGACTGTAAACAGTGGTTTAGCGTGACTTGCACAATTTGCAGTGATCCTTGGGTTTATATGTTCCCACCTCTCAAATGGCTGGAGAACTTCAGAAGCATTTTATTTTTTGTTCACCTTAATCAATTTCAGGAGTTCCTGATGGGACTCGTTAGATTAATCCTGCCCAGAGTTTGTCGGTGATGGTAGGGCTTGCAAATGTGTGCTTTTAACATGTATTCTTTGTTAGATATGAGTAAAAGTGCCTGTGGTCTCTTCCCTGCCTTCCCACTCCATCATTGCTGCTGGAAGCTTGACAATCATGAGATGGTAGGGAATGGAGCTGCCAGGCAGAGTGAGTAGGGTGTGTGAGGTCTGTGAAAGTGTCAGTGACAGTTTCTTAACCAAGCAAGCAGATAAATTTTCAGCAACCCTTCACTTGTATCTGTGTAGGTGAGTGTGCAGCATTCGTGGAGCAATGCAATTAAGAATTAAACCAGGATATGGAACACAGCTGTAATTACAAATCACAGTTAATGCAAACTGAGTTTTACAAAGCAACTGTAAACTGTAATCTACAGTACTGGTTTGTTGGCCCCAAACTATGGTTTCAGATGTACAAACAAATTATAGTTAAGCTAAACAAACTATGGATTAACATTGCATCCAAATCAGGACTAAGCCTCTCAAGATCTGTTTAAAACAGTACAACAAATCACACCCTAAACAGAAGATACACAAAATGATGTGGTATTTGGTTTGAACAGCTTTAGCAAGTTCTTTCCAACAGAGGGCCTAAAGATAATCTAATGATGATCTAAAGATTTTAAAAAAAATTATAAATGTATTTTTGTAAGGGGGACGGAAATATTTTTTTATGGCATAATGTTGTTTTCTAGAGTTGAAGAGAGTGGGAATCTCTTGCTGTTCTTCAAATGTCTCTCCTATTTCACTGAGTGGTGTGATCATCGGAAACGCACTTTGACCCATTTCAAGGTAGTGTTTTGAAAAGTTATGCTTTCTTTTAAACCTTCCTTTTTCTCTGTTAACCAGCTTCATTATGGAACAAGAGGAAACTGAATGACATTGGTTTTTGAAATATGGGTTAATTTAATGCTACTGCAAGTTTTGGGGAAAATATAAATTCATGGTTGTTTGGTTCTGTGCTATTTTAAAAATCTCAGTCCCTCAAAAATAATGTTTTATGTTTGTGTGGACTGCCGAGCTTGAAACTTTTCACTGTCTTGTCTGTTGAGGTTCTGGGAGAGTCGGGATCATTGTGTGGTTGGTAGGCTGACAAGACTCCTCATCTGTAAGTCTGAACTGTTAGTCACAAATTCAGAGTCTGGTAACTCTGGAATTGTCATAGAAGAGGACTGGGGACTGGGTCACAACAATTTGAGAATTCCCCCAATATGCCTATTGAGGGAAGGGGAGAAGGGTTTAGTGGAGAGCAAATAAAGGGTTCAATTTGTTTGTCATAGGATGTAGTAGGAGGAGTGGCAAATCATGAAACGTAAGACTGAGGAAGATGCTGTGATCAAATAAACTTTCAATCTACCTGGCTGTAGGTGGAGATTGAAAGTGCTCAAATAAGGAAAGGATTGAGGTAATAAAATGGAAGTGAGATTTGGTGCCATTGCCCAACCACATCTTTTGCCAAAGACAAACTATGTATTACCATCTTTGCCCAGTCATAGAAGACCATTTACTTACAAAGGAGTAGTGAAGTATGTCCTCTTTCTTACTTTTTCTTTCTGATGGTTTGTATTATTAGACATGTTAGAGTTTTAGTCAATAGGTAACACACACAAACTAAAAACAAACAGTAATCTCTAAAGATTTTGCCATGTAAATGAGATTGGATACATAGTACAATTAAAGCAGCATAGCTAGAGCAGAGCTTAATAGCTGTAAAAATCTTCAATACTAGTAAATAATTAAATCAGAAAAGAACGTATCTGGTATGAAAAAAGAGAACGCAGAATTTACTGATAAAAAGGTACTTCTGAAGAAGTCTTCAGCTGACATACACAAAGTTGGACAATTATATTCTAACCAGCCCAAATGACTTCTGTTTTGAGATAAGGGTTTAAACTCTGGCTGATCACAGCACAGATATCACAATCTAAAAATAGTCATGTGGTGGCTTGAGGAGAGTGATATATTAAATACAATAAAAATTCACAGTTATTGCTTATTCTTACTGCAGAGTACTATGCATGATTGGGTAGAATCAAGTTCCACAGAGCTCAATAGGAATAACTTAGAATTGTGCATAAGATTGTGGTTGTCTGTAAATACCTATTTGAATTGTATAGGACTGTACTTAATATTACCAAAATGGATGCATGTCCCTTCTAAGTACATTGACAGCTTAAAGAGTGTCAATAAGGTACATTATGAATTGTTCAGTTATTAATATTCTTCAGGGTTTTTCAGATAATGAGTAATTGTTTTTTGGTAACAGTGTTCAATGCAGAGACTATGTTGCATGGTATCTTTTAAGCAATATTAATATTGCCAAGCATGAGTTTCAGGTGCTGACTATTTCTGATTCAGAAATCTAAACAACTCAATCTGACTGGTCTCATTCACATGATGAAATCCTGGCTTAATAACCTAGGATTTGTATGAGGTTCATGCACCTTTACACAGACCCTTTGCTTTCTCTTCACACTTCCGTTTCTGTAAGTGGAAAAGCAAACTAAGAAGTTGCCAACTTTAAACAATGGGAAACTTCCTCAGATCTATTTGTAGGTCTGTTACTGATTAAAGATGAAAAGCTGTTTGTTGCCTCCATTTTATCCCCAATATATTGTGTCCTACTTTGCCATTAGACAAAAAACTGGTGTCTTAAATCCAGCTACTTTATGTTTGCTAGAAAATAACAAAAGTTTATTCTGCTTCAGCAAAGTCTGTCTCATTTCTCCTATGTTGTGCATTATGTGTTTCCTATATAAAACACATTAGACTGGTCACATGAGAATGCTACCCATTCTCTCTACATCAGCTGATTATTCTCCACACAGCGTTAAAGCATTTATTCTTTTGAAATACAGGCAACCCCCCATTTATGTGGGGGTTACGTTCCGAGGTACTGCACGTGTCAGTGAAATAGTGCATACTTGAAACACAGTTGAAAACAAAAGCCTGCAAACACCCTGTTCCCCACCATCGCCCCATTCTGCCTCTTTTTGTGATTTTTTGGGCCACTTTCGGGTTCAGCGTGATGCGCATTTACATGGTCATGCACATATTGAATGCACATAGATGGGGCATTGCCTGTAGATTGGTTCCCTTGAAAAAAAGAATATGTTACTGGTTTTATATTTGAGTCTAAGTTCTAGAAATAAAAAAGGCTCAGGCTTATTAAATCAGAAGGTGCAATTTCACCAAGTTAAGGTAGAAGTTATAACGGCTAAAAGTGTTGAATATACATATGTGAAGATATTAACATGGAAAGACAAATTGAAACCGTGATAAAATGGTAATCTTTACCTACTTTTTACCATTTTCAGTTTTGTTAATAATTAAAAGTATGTGCCTATAGGCAAGGTTCTCAGGCACATAAAAGCATTGGGGTACTTTCCCAAGATGACTGGGTTGCCATCCATTCTTATGATATCCATGCGTTGCCGAACGTAACGGGTCTGATTGTTCCCTTTGCAGAATGTTTCATCTGTGATGCTGGTTATGTTGTTGAACTGCAAATCAAAACAGTGAACTTGAAAAATCTGAAGTTCCAATGCTAGTTAAAAGATATACTAGTTTGATGTTTTCTTTCATTGAAATCCTATTCAATACTTCTCTCTACAGCACTATAATGATTTCTGTTATAAATATGTACATTGTATATAGGACATGGTTTTTCCAAACTCCTTACACTAATGTTTGGTTCCTTCATGGCTCTTCCTATACAACATTGTTTGTCTATTGCATGGTATTCTGCCCTGAAAATTTCTTCTTTACATGAAGAAAAATAAAACTTGCAGATTCCTATAGATTACAAATGGGAGTCCCTACGCTACAGTAACATATCCCTTCAGAAGAATCTGTAAGTTACCAGAGAACAGTATTCTTTATTGGCCAGGTTGCTGTTTCCCTTGCTTATGCTTTCAGTGCACAACTTCTATTTTATTTTATTTATTAACTTAATTTATAAACCACCTTTCTGATGAAGTATTTTAAAATACAAAAATGAAACAAAAAATTGTAAAGCTGAGTTCTCTTGGGCCATTGGTAGTGTGTGTGTATACACACACACATACAAATATTTCTTTGTGCAACAGCAACAAAATGTTTTCAGACCTGAAGATTCAGAGTACGCAGGCTCTCTGGCAAGTTAAGTGGGACAGACTCGAGTAAATTGTGTCCTAGGTCGAGAAATGACAAGTTGGTCAGCTTCTGTAAAAGAGAAACAGAAAAGGAGGGGGAAAGAAACTGTTTTACAAGCAGTTTAAACAAGATAATTGGTTACTAATTGGATCTATTGATAGGGATTGGGCTATTCAGTTGTGTTGAAAGATGTTTGAAGCCTGTAGTATAAATAAATATATTACTTAATCTAAAAAGAATAACACATTTTTAAAAAAGTGATCTCCTTCAGTTCTTTTGGACCAACACCAATATGATAGATGCTGTAGATGCGGAGAGAGGAGCATGAAGAGGATCAAAGATTTCACTGGGCATATATAAGCCATTCAGCATGCCAAAATTAATGAATTAAATCCCAGTTTATTTATGCTACTTTACCTCTTCTTTTCATAACATTAATTCTGAACAACTTGTTTTTGGATATTTTGAGCAAAAAATGGTGAAATGCTATGTAGCATGGTGGGCTGCTATGTTAAGAAACAAGATGACAGCCCTCTTGGGGATGCAAAACTAGTTGTATGGTCCTTTGGATTGGGATCCCATGCAATATTGTATTGAAGAAGTAGAAAAGCTTCCCAAAGCATAAACTATAAACTACAGGACAAATCTTGGGTATAGTTCTTAGATAGTCTGAAGAGCTAAACCACAAGATTGGGTTCGGACGACGTGCACACACCAGGCCATGGCTCACTGTAGCACAGCAGCAAAACAACTGAGGAGGAACCAAGTGGCCAGGATGTTCTCTCATGGAGCGTACATGTTGCACTAAGCCATGGTTTGGCTTAGCATGACATAGGAATCAATTGTAATAATAAATTTTATTACCTTGAAAGCGTTTGCTTTAATTCCTCTGCTTTTAATAAAGTTATTGTTTGCTTTCAGTGAAGTTAGCTTTGGAGGCAAAGCTGGAAGCTTGGCAAGTCTGTTATCAGCAAGTGAAAGTTCTTCTAATAATACTAGTTTTGCAAAGGTCCCATCTTCAATATCTTGTATCATATTTCCAGTCAAATCTATTCTTTTCAGTGTGGCTAAAAAAGAAGAAAGAAAGAAAAGATAGGCTCTGATGCGTTTTGTAAGCAATCACCTGCTAAGCCCCTAGTAAAGTGTTGCTGCATAGTAGGCTGTGCTGTGCAACCTAGTTATGGAGTCCTGGGTATTGCGCTGATAATTTTTCTCCTCGGAAGAGCTTCAAATAAACTAAGCTTGCCTTCAATGTCCTCCAATGTTCTTCCTTTACAGTGGCAGCACCAATTGTAAATGTCTAATTCATTCTTTTAAGCACTAGCCTGGTAACCACAGACGACCAGGAATTTCATGCAACTGAGTGAGCAGACTAGTGCAAAGGAGTGCTCATTCCTCTTCTGTGCATATGGGCTGTCAGAGAAGAGAAGCCCCCCACCACTACACTCAGTAATAAAAGTGCACAAACAGGCTCACCTCCTCAGCTGTTATCTCTCTTTTACCACTTAATCAAATGATTGCTCTGCAGCCCTCTGAGGAGCTGGGTGGTTGGCTCTGTAGGAAGGTTTAAACCACAGTACTAAAGCTACTTTTTTTTTTAATCCCTTTTTGCTGAGATTTTGGCATTTGATCAGGCTGCTCAAGGGTACCCAGTGTCTGCTTCCTGCCAGCTTACACAATGTTGCCCTGCTAATCTATGAGCATGTATTCTTTTTTTGGTCTTCCTCCTAGAGTAGCACTGTGTTCAACTTACAGAAAGGAGTTCTAGGATTAATCCTTTCTCATTCAGTGGGCATTGTTCAAGGAAAGTACTATGCTGTTTTATCTTATTTCTAGGGTTGTCATTGATGAAGAAATATTAATTTCTTGTGTGTGTGTGTTTCCTTGTGGCTGATTAGCTGCTCTCCCTGTGCAAAGGTTTGATCCATCTTTTAGATTTAGGGGAGCTAGTCTCAAATGTTTGTTGGGGGAGACCTAGGGGTTTTTTTGGGGGGGGAGTTATTTGTCCTGTCTTCACGCTTTTTATGATGGAGGACCGCTGTAGCCACCCCCAACGACATGTTCTCAAGATGGAGGGGGAGGGAACAGCTGCAGTCGCCTGCGGTTCCTGCGCAATGTTTGCCATCTTGCCAAAGGTTGCAGGCAGCTTTACCTGCAGCAATTGCATGTTGATTGCCCTCTTAAAAGACAAAGTCCACCAACTGGAGGAACGTGTAGCTACGCTCCAAAGAATTAGAGAGCTGGAGCTCTTCTTGGAAGCAACAGAGCACACCGTCTCCACCAAGGAGGAGACAGGGGACTCCCCTGAGAAGGAGGCTAGTTCACCAACACAGGAGCCAGATATATGGAGAAACGTGACTCAAAGAAGTAGGAGGCCCAGGGTTCGCTCTGATTGTTTAGAAATACACAATCGCTTTGAGGTCCTCTCCCCTAGCATGGAAGACGAAGAGCAGACTCCATTTGAGGATCTCTCCCTCATTACAGTCGATCAGGTATATGAAGACGAGCAGCAAAGTCAGTCCTCAGGGAATGTGCAGGCGACCTTGGAACGGACAGCTCACAGAAGAACCCCGACCAAACCTAAGAGGAGGCGTGTAGTAGTGATAGGGGATTCCCTACTGAGGGGAACAGAAGCAGTGATCTGTGGGCCTGACAAGATGTCTCGGGAAGTGTGCTGTCTCCCCGGGGCTAAGATCCAAGATGTAACTGAACGACTGCAAGGAATCATAAAACCCACTGACAAATACCCCGTCCTCTTGGTTCATGTGGGAACCAATGACACTGCAAGCAATAGCCTCCAGAAGATCAAAAGAGACTACGAGGCTCTGGGCAGGAAATTAAAGCAATTAAATGCACAAATTGTCATCTCATCTGTCCTCCCAGTTGAACGACATGGCCCAGGGAGAGAGGGAAAAATAGTGGAAGTGAACAGATGGCTTCGCAAATGGTGTAAACAGGAACGGTTTGGATTCTTAGATCACGGACTGCAGTTTCTTGAAGATGGACTTCTGGCAAGCGATGGGCTGCACCTCACAACGGTTGGGAGAAATGTTTTTGCCAAAAATCTCAGAAACCTCATCAGGAGGGCTTTAAACTGACTAATGTGGGGGAGGGAGACAGTGCTCCTGAAGGTAGGAGTCTATCAATTGATGAAGATGATCATCCAAATGTCATAGACCAAATGGAGCAAACAGCACGCAGACCTAGTGGTGGGAGGAAAAAATCCTTAAATAAGAGACATGGGGGAATGATTAATGGACTTCAATGTCTGTACACTAATGCGCAAAGCATGGGAAATAAACAAGATGAGCTTGAGCTCTTGGTATAGCAAACTAAATATGACATAATAGGCATCACTGAAACCTGGTGGGATAAGTCCCACGATTGGAATGTAATAATGGGGGGATACAATCTATTTCAGAGAAACAGACCAGACAAGAAAGGAGGAGGAGTGGCGTTATATGTCAGGGATGTGTATACCTGTGAAGAGATCCAAGATTTAGAACCTCAAAGCCAAAGTGAGAGCATCTGGGTCAAAATTAAGGGAGAGAAGAATAACAATGACCTCATTGTGGGAGTTTACTATAGATCTCCAAGCCAAACGGAGGACATAGATGATGCCTTCCTGGAACAGATGGCCAAGCATGCAAAAGGAAGGGAGATAGTAGTAATGGGGGACTTCAGTTACCCGGATATTTGTTGGATGTCAAACTCAGCCAAGAGCATAATGTCAAACAGATTCCTCACTGGCCTTGCAGACAACTTCATTGTCCAGAAAGTGGGAGAAGCAACAAGAGGAACAGCCATTTTAGATCTGGTCCTAACCAATGTTGATGACCTGGTTAGTGGGGTAGAAGTGGAAGGATCATTAGGCGCGAGTGATCATGCTCTTCTGAAGTTTACTATACAGCGGAAAGGAGCAGCCAAGCATACTAGGACTCAATTTCTGACTTTAAGAAAGCCGACTTCATAAAACTTAGGGAAGTGCTGGGTGAGATCCCATGGACAGTAATACTAAAAGGAAAGGGAGTTCATGATGGCTGGGAGTTTGTTAAGAGGGAGATAGTAAAAGCACAACTTCAGGCAATACCAATGAGACGGAAACATGGAAGGTGCCTAAAGAAGCCAGGGTGGCTATCTAAAGAACCTTTGACTGAGTTAGGATTAAAAAAGGATGTGTGCAAAAAATGGAAAAGGGGGGAAACCACCAAAGAGGAATTCAAACAAATAGCCAGCACGTGTAGACACAAAGTCAGAAAAGCTAAAGCACAGAATGAACTCAGGCTTGCTAGAGAGGTTAAAAGCAACAAAAAAGGCTTTTATGGGTATGTCTAGCAAAAGGAAGAACAAAGAAACAGTGGGGTCACTCAGAGGAGAAGATGGTGAAATGCAAACAGGGGACACAGAAAGGGCTGAACTCCTCAATGCCTTCTTTGCCTCAGTCTTCTCCGATAAAGAAAACAATGCCCTACCTGAAGAATTTGGAGCAAATGATTCAGCAGAGGAAACACAGCCCAGAATAACTAAGGAGATAGTACAAGAATACTTGGCTAGTCTAGATGTATTCAAGTCTCCAGGGCCAGATGAACTGCATCCAAGAGTATTAAAAGAACTGGCAGATGTGATCTCAGAACCACTGGCAGTCATCTTTGAGAATTCCTGGAGAACAGGCAAAGTCCCGACAGACTGGAGGAGGGCAAATGTTGTCCCTATTTTCAAAAAGGGGGAAAGAGAGGACCCAAATAATTACCGCCCAGTCAGTTTGACATCAATACCAGGGAAGATTCTGGAGCAGATCATTAAGCAAACAGTCTGTGAGCACCTAGAAAGGAATGCTGTGATCACCAATAGTCAGCATGGATTTCTGAAAAATAAGTCATGTCAGACTAGCCTGATCTTGTTTTTTGACAGAATTACAAGCCTGGTAGATGAAGGGAACGCAGTGGATGTAGCCTACCTTGATTTCAGCAAGGCATTTGACAAGGTGCCCCATGATATTCTTGTAAAGAAGCTGGTAAAATGCGGTCTTGACTATGCTACCACTCAGTGGATTTGTAACTGGCTGACTGACCGAACCCAAAGGGTGCTCATCAATGGTTCCTCTTCATCCTGGAGAAGAGTGACTAGTGGGGTGCCACAGGGTTCTGTCTTGGGCCCGGTCTTATTCAACATCTTTATCAACGACTTGGATGATGGACTCAAGGGCATCCTGATCAAATTTGCAGATGACACCAAACTGGGAAGGGTGGCTAACACCCCAGAGGACAGGATCACACTTCAAAACGACCTTGACAGATTAGAGAACTGGGCCAAAATAAACAAGATGAATTTTAACAGGGAGAAATGTAAAGTATTGCACTTGGGCAAAAAAATGAGAGGCACAAATACAAGATGGGTGACACCTGGCTTGAGAGCAGTACATGTGAAAAGGATCTAGGAGTCTTGGTTGACCACAAACTTGACATGAGCCAACAGTGTGACGCGGCAGCTAAAAAGCCAATGCAATTCTGGGCCGCATCAATAGGAGTATAGCATCTAGATCAAGGGAAGTAATAGTGCCACTGTATTCTGCTCTGGTCAGAGCTCACCTGGAGTACTGTGTCCAGTTCTGGGCACCACAGTTCAAGAAGGACACTGACAAACTGGAACGTGTCCAGAGGAGGGCAACCAAAATGGTCAAAGGCCTGGAAACGATGCCTTATGAGGAACGGCTAAGGGAGCTGGGCATGTTTAGCCTGGAGAAGAGGAGGTTAAGGGGTGATATGATAGCCATGTTCAAATATATAAAAGGATGTCACATAGAGGAGGGAGAAAGGTTGTTTTCTGCTGCTCCAGAGAAGCGGACACGGAGCAATGGATCCAAACTACAAGAAAGAAGATTCCACCTAAACATTAGGAAGAACTTCCTGACAGTAAGAGCTGTTTGACAGTGGAATTTGCTGCCAAGGAGTGTGGTGGAGTCTCCTTCTTTGGAGGTCTTTAAGCAGAGGCTTGACAACCATATGTCAGGAGTGCTCTGATGGTGTTTCCTGCTTGGCAGGGGGTTGGACTCGATGGCCCTTGTGGTCTCTTCCAGCTCTATGATTCTATGATTCTATAATTAATTAATTAATCAATTAAATACTTAATTAACCATACATGTATATGCATATGAAGAAAATGGTACTGCTGAAAATTAAAATGTTCTTTCTTAGTTGTTATCTAGGTCTGACTTTGTGGCCACAGGAATCATGTAAAGAGATAGTCCCTTGTGTGGGAAAGGATTGCTTCTTCCAGGATGGTGATTCATACAATACCTGTGGTTATTTATCTGAAAAAATAAGTTTTAAAAATAAGAATAATAAATGAATTGAACTTAAAAAGAATAGAGTGATCTTGGTCAGTGTTTATTTGTTTACTAATATAGATGGTTGCAGTTAAAATTTTATGAATGAGATGTAATTCACCTTCAGTAGTAGTAGTATATGGACATGAATTTAAAGGTAATGAAATGTATTTTTAATGTTTTACCCAAACCTTTAGTATAGTCAAGAAGTATGGTATGTAGTTTTAAATCAAGTATATACTTACGAATTTCAGCAAAATCAGATACTTTCAGCTTCTTGATTTTGTTGAAACGTGCATAAAGATAGCCAGTTTCTTTTGGCAGAGCTGGAACACTTTCCATATCTGTTTCTTCACAGTAAACTGAACCACTTAAACAAACACACAGCAGACAAGTAGCCAAATCTGAAATAAGATAATTTTGTTTCTATGTAAGTGGAATGTTGGACGGTTGATTGTCTGTCAGTCCTAGTGGCACACTTTATGGGGCATAAATGCTATATTCAAATTGTCTTACATGCATTTTGCAGACATTAGGATATGGAAACATTTTTTTACTCATATCACATGAGGCCTTCAGACAGTTTTGAATTTAGTGTCAGTCAACAGAATTTTTTACATAGCACTTTATTCAAACAGACTTGACCTAGTAAATTTTAGAATTTAGATTTCTAAAGCATAGAAACTTACCATATCTTGTAAATTTGAGATAGTGTACGTATTCTTTCTAAAATGTTTTCAACTCCATTTCTTATTGTTGTATGGGTTGAAAAATACAGATAGATGAAAGGATAACAAATGTAGGTTAACTAGAATTCCAGGTTTAATAGTCAGATCATGAGAAATAGTCTCTATTTTCTTTTTATTTGCTTTAATTGTAATATTTCTCAAACCTTAGGATATTGGAATGAAATTTCATATGACAAATGGGTTCAATCCTCCTCATTTGTTTTCAAGGAGAGGAATTTACTCACTTCACTATTGCCTACAGAGGTACTTCTAGTTATGAACTTCATTCATTCCGGAGGTCCGTTCTTAACTTGAAACTGTTCTTAACTAGAGGATTTCGCTAATGGGGCCTCTTGCTGCCACTGTGCCGCTGGCACATGATTTCCATTCTCATCCTGGCGCAAAGTTCTCAACTTGAGGTAACTCTTCCAGGTTAGTGGAGTTTGTAACCTGACGTGTTTGTAACCTGAGGCATTTTTAACTCGAGGTACCACTGTATTTTTGTTCTCCATCCCCTGTTCTTCTGACACTGAGAAACCTTAGTCATGATTCTGAAGCAGCTAGACCCAACACTGATTGATCACATATTGTCAGCACTAACACTGTAGTTGAGAAGTGAGATCTGTTGCTGAGCTTTCTGCTTTCTCTGGCATCATTTTTGTCTGGGAAAATGCAACTCTGTGATATCTGTGAGCATGTGCTTGCTGTCTAGGCTTATAAAAAAAGTACAATTTTTAAAGCCTGGAGTATGTGAGTGTGTATGCACACAGCTGCCAAAACATGCTTCTCTGACTAGAAGCATTATAAATAGGGGAGAAGGGGAGACCAGTGCATCTTGCACTTTGTGGTTCATTCAGGGCAATCATTACTTGCTCCAAGCAAGTGGCAAGTTGAATTCTGATGCTTATGTCAGTGTGCATACTTTCTCACATTTTTGGTAACTATTTTGTTTGTTTGTTTTAAGCTTGATATTATACTGTAATGTGGTAAAATCTTACCTGTTAAATTTGTTGATCCCTCACTAAGTATCTCTTCATCTCTCTGCATTTGCAGTTCATTTTCGTGGAAAAGGAGCATATCATTGCTTTCCTTATATGTAGGAAGTTATAAAAATACATGCAGGGATTAATATATTATTTTTCAATAGTGGTGGTAAAACCTTTAAAAGTTAATAAACCACATTGTCTGGAACATTTCCTGGAGCACTGGAAACAATCTAGTTTAAAACACACACACCAAAATCTAACATTCAGCAGTACTTCTGGGATAGGGTAACTTCATGTGACACCTCATGTTGAATACAGACAGTTAAATTAAGCAATACTTTGTTATTTCCATTTGCTAGTGGGCAGATCAGATGTCATGTTCCTGGCCCAACAACCATGATTTATTGGATCATGCATGCACCGCATGTGAGCTTCTTTCCCTGGCACACCCAGCTTAATACAGTATAACCTGGCTGGTAGTTTGCTGTGATGACTGAACTGGGAGGTTGTGGGTTTAATGCTCCCTGTAAAGGTAAAGGGACCCCTGACCATTAGGTGCAGTCATGGCTGACTCTGGGGTTGCGGCGCTCATCTTGCTTTATTGGCCGAGGGAACCGGCGTACAGCTTCCGGGTCATGTGGCCAGCATGACTAAGCCGCTTCTGGCGAACCAGAGCAGTGCACGGAAACGCCGTTTACCTTCCCACCGGAGCAGTACCTATTTATCTACTTGCACTTTGACGTGCTTTCAAACTGCTAGGTTGGCAGGAGCAGGGACCGAGCAATGGGAGCTCACCCCGTCGTGGGGATTCGAACCGCTGACCTACTGATCAGTAAGTCCTAGGCTCTGTGGTTTAACCCACAGTGCCACCCGTGTCCCAGTGCTCCCTGTAACTGGGATCAAACCATGGTTACCAATTCTGAATTGCAATGAACACTCAGACTAATAAGAAGTGGGATGATGTGTGGAGGCAGTGGCAGGCTGGATGTGGACCAGCAAAGGTGTTGTATGTTCCAATTTCTTGAGTCCAAGAGGTAAACACAGCTTGTTCTGGACAGGATTGCACTCCACTGGAAGGAGCAGGTTGATAGCTTGGGGATACTCCTGGCTCCAGCACTGTAACTTGAGGTCTAAGTGGCCTCCGTGGCTAGGAATGCCTATTTCCAGCTATGGCTTGTTTGCCAGCTATGGCCCCGTTTGGACAGAGATGACTTGGCCACAGTACTCAGTGCTCTGATAACTTCCAGGTTGGATTATTACAGTGCACTCTGGAGCTGCCCTTTAAGATGACTTAGAAACTTGTACTGGTTCAAAATGCAACAGCCAGATTACTGGCTGGGGCTGCCTTTACTACTCATATATAACCCCTGTTCTAAAACAGCTGCATTGGCTGCTAATTCTTTTCTGGGCCCAATTTAAGGTGCTTACGCTAGTATTTAAAGCCCCAAACAATTTAGACCTCAAATATCTGAAAGGCCCCTTGATTCCCTACAGACCCTCCCCAGTGTTAATATTAGCAGAGGGGGCCCTCTTGGTAGTTCCATCAGAATTTTGGAAGTTCAGAATCCTGCCCTGGGATCTGCTGGGAAAATGAAATGAGGGAATAAAAGCCTCTCAGATACCACAACAACACTTTGAAGCTGGACAAACAACTGATTGTGTTTTGCTCCATATCATCAGCATTATAGTTGAGACAACTACTGGGACTGAGCTGACCATCCTTTTTGCAACTCCATATTGCTCAGCCATCAAGCAGGATCACCCCTCATCACATCAACTGGGTCCTCTGACCTTTCATTTATTGTTTAAGTATATGAAACATTTATAAACTGCTTAATACAGGCAGTGGCCATTTTAGGTGTTACTGATATGTGTGTGACTGTGTACATGTGCATCACACTGAACCTGGAAGCCACCCAAAAACATCACAAAAAAGAACGGGGGCAGAACAGGGTGTTTGCCGGCTTTTTCAGTGGTGTTTCTAATACATGTGATTTGACTTACACACGCAGTGTCTTGGAACGTAACTTGGGAGTTGCCTTGTTTAAAAATCTCAGAGCAGCATGACTATGGATAGTTACAGCTATTTCTGTACAACAGTGATGTTTCTGGGATTTTCTTGTGCCTTCAGTTGCATAGGAGGAAATCCCGGTATGCATTTCCTCAGGAGGATGTCACTGCCCATAGATTGGCAATGGGGCTGCAGCGGAACAATTGCCATATGGGGGGCTTCCTGGCTCCAAGGGGTACTAGTTATATGGCTATGTTACCCCAGCATTGAGAGCAGCATGCCTCTGAAAACCAGTTGCTTGTAAGCTTCCCATAGGCATCTTGTTGGCCCTTGGAGAATAGAATGTTGGACAAGCTAGATCTTTGGCAGGGTTTTCCTTATGTAGTCATGTTTTGAAGAGACATGGAATGGTGGAGGGATCCAACAAGGTGACTTAATTTAATTTACTGTAAACTTGTGAGCAGGGTTTTGTTCTACTGGGTCTTTTTTCCTTCAGGCTGTTTTATAAATAATTATAAATCATACCCCAGTCCCCCTCAAGGTATGCAAATGTGCCACCGAGTTTGGGTATTGCTGCTTTGATGTTGTTCTTGTTCATGAATTAAAAGACAGGGAAATTATAAATGGTATTAAAATATGAGGTGACAAACTATTGTGCTACTTGCAAAAATTCAGGTAAATGTATGAATACATGAGAAGAGCTTAAGTCTTTGATGCACTTAAATGTTCATTGAGTTAATTTTGTTGTCCATATCCTGTTTGAGTATTATGAATAGAAAAGCAATTTGTCTTTGTTTTAATACCCTTCAGTTGTAACCCCTGTATTTGGTTCTCTTTTAAGTGAAACATTAGCTTCTCCCCATTTAGTACTCTAATCGCTTTGGCTGCCCTTCTTTAACCCCTTTCTCACTTCTTCTTTTCACTATTAAATGTATTACTCATCCTTCACTGAAGGACCCAGGGTGGATTATAGCAATCTCAAACATCATTAAACGTATCTTACATTACATGGGCTAGTTTTGCATAAAACAAATTCGCAAGCTATGTACTATAAACTGAAGTTCATCTTACTGAAGCGCCATCTACTGGTGCAAAGCACAGTTTACTCTATTTAAAATGTTACACTTTCTCCTTTTTAGGTAAACAATTTTAAAAATAGTAAATAGACATCTTTAAGGAATAAACAGTTAAGAACTTAATACATGTGCAGATAATGTAATAATTAAATTGTCACCAACTGTGACAGTTGGTTAGAGCATGGTGCTAATAACGCCAAGGTTTTAGGTTTGATTCACGTATGGGACAGCTGCGTATTCCTGCATTGCAGGGGGTTGGGCTAGATGATCATCAGGGTCCCTTCCAACTTTATGATTCTATGAATACTGCTGCCCTGGATGAGTTGCACTTCCCTTGAAAGAGCAAGTAGGCAGTATGGGAGTGTTTTTGGCTCCAGCTTTGTCACATGTGCAACCGCAACAACAACATAAATGCTAAAACCTTAAATTTCTTTTTGGCATTGGCTCTGAACATCATGTCATGAGGCTTTGATCCACCATAGGTTTTCTGCATATGTGTACTACATTCTAGACGATATAATTTTAAATACTGATTTATTTATTATTTGTACTTGTAGCCCGCCCATCACTGAATGGTCACAAGGCAGGTATTTAATACTATTGAATAGGGCAGCACATTGTAAATTCATTAAATGTAGTGGCAGTTTATAAGGCTTGTTAAGGTACAATGCTCTGTTTTGGTTTGAATAATTGAGGGTTGTACTGTATAGCTGTTTATCATTTATATAATGCACAAAATTCCTTATAATATATGTTAATGTTTCCCTCATAAAATAGGCCACTGTTAAACCTATTTTACACAAAAGGGATTGGGGGGTTGGGATAAGCCTAAGACTTGTCTAGACCAGAAAATGAGTTCATGATAGATCAATGGACCACACTTGATTTTTTGTATATCAGTGCAGAATGGTCACTCTTTATGATAATGTAACAGATAATTGGTAAAATGTACTTTTGAAATAAAAGTCATGCATTAAGGCAAATGTGGGCTCACACCCATTGTTTGTGGCCCACATAGGTATGGCACATTGCCCATTCCTATGTGCCCAAACAGTTCCACTATGATAAAGGAACAAAATAAAACAATTGTGTGTAACTATATTATGATTTTATTTTGGCTAACTTTACATTATCCTTATTTTTTCCACTTGTTTTCATAATTACCCATGGAACATGCTTGCATGCATAGATGAACACAGAACTTGTCAAATACCTGATTTTTTACTGCATCCTGTGGCTTGTCTTCATAATCCTCCTTAAATATTATGTCTTCATAACTTTGCTTAAATATTGTCTCTTCAAGAGTGGCCAAACCAGGGTCATAAAATGTGGCTGAGTGTTGTTTAGGTGGTGCCAACTTCACCAAGGGCAACAAAAAATAAAAGAAGAGACCAAATTTCTGCAAAGTCTTCATTTTGAGAGGCTGAGGCTTGTATTGAGCTGGAAGGACTAAGCAGAATGATTTCTTTGTGACTGGAAATAAAAAAAGCAATCTCTCAAAACAATATTTAAAGCGTAGAGGTCTAGTTGGCAGTGATTTCTAATGCTTAAGGAACGTGGAAAAATTATTAACTCTTAGCATTCTTTCTATAAATATTTCCAATGTTAAAAAGTTGACAATGTACAGTGTAGAAAAATAGAAGTACAAATTGATACATTGGAGATTTGTTTTGTGAGTTAAGTGCTGATAGAAATACATACAAAACATTGTTTTAGATTTTGTATGTATGGTGATGAAATAGTTAAAAGGAACAGGGCTGAGCCCAGCCTGGGACTGAAAAGTATTTTTTTCATTGTCTTAAGGACTATTTTGTAGAGCAAACTAAATTTTGAAATATGCAACAAAGTAATAACAATGTATTTAAATATAAAAAATAGCATGCATACAATAGAAAAAAATACTATAACTTTTAACATATGTAATCTAGTATATAATAAACTTTTACAATAACTTGTTAAAACTGATAAGATAACTTCTTGGAAGATAACACCTACCGTTTTCGCTGATTGAGATCTCTTGTGTGACTGTTTCAATATGGTTTTCTCTTCATTAATTCCAAATGGCTAGACAAGAGTGAGATTATTTTCAGCAGTCTGAAATGATACTACTACAAAAACTGTCAAACTTTAAAAGCTCCTTCTGTGGGGTAAATAAGGCTGGGTCAGCATGCAGTCTTGAATGCAAAATGATAAATCAGTCCTGCTCGACTAATATATTGGAAAATATTCAACTTAATATGTTAATATAGTTGCTCTTATCGTTCAAAGCTTTAACTGGACCAACTGCAGTTTCATGCAATAAAGACAAGCAAAGTCATATGCTTCTCATTTAGTTTAGCATTTAATGGAAGACAAAGGAGCTGACTTCCGTTTCAGTTTAGGCATACGCATTCCACTTTTTTTGTGCAGTTAAAACTTGCAACTCAAGATACACACAGAGGAAATTCAAGCTTTTAGTTTGCAGTTTAGTTGGTTGTAGGTTTTGAAAATCTTGAGAGCATTCCAACCTTAACAGCTCATTACAGAAAACAGTGTGATGTATATTCACTGAGAATACAGTTTGTAATAGAAGCAGATTTGCATATGAAAATGACATATGACAGAAAGTGCATATGGCAGAAAAATTACATTTCATTGAAAAATAATTCAGATTCATGTCTTGATATGAAAAGTGCTTCCTATGTTTTATACCTCTTAAAAGAGGGGAAATCTTTCAGTTTTATACACAGCCAGCGAAGATAAACAGAACCTAAATGTACAAACAGCATTTATTGTTGAAAGACATCACTGCTGAAACTGTCTGTGCTTTGGTATGTTACTTTTAGCTGGGACTCCAAATAGAAGATGCATCAGCTGAGAATGTTTTCATTTGGATTAGTTTTGTAAGCCCAAAGCTATGTTGTTGTAGAATGTTTATTGCTCCAAGAAAAGCCAAAGTTCAGACACCAGCTGTTTGCTGTGGAACGCCATCTCAGTTGGAGTTGGATGCTTTGCTGTAAGTACATCTGCTGGTTTACAGTCTTCATTTGAAACTTGATCCATTCTGAACATAAATGTTTCCCCTGAATTCACTGTGCAGATGGAAAATAATGGTAGCAAAACTGAAAATCAGTGCATGTTATATTAAAATACTATGTGTCCTGTTAATATTAATACTGAGGCACCAGAAGAATTTTAAAGTTTTTTAGCCCAACTGTTCCTATCATTGGTTTCATTTTCTCTTAAATTCAGTGACTGATGACAATTTCTCTCACTTTTATGCCACTTTTACAACTCAAGCTATTATATGGACAGTCCCGGTTTGGACTGCATCCAGAGCAGTGTTCACTCAAGCGTTATCCTCCTCCAAAAGCCACTCCCGGGGAAAGGCCTGACAGTGGGGTGGGAAAAGAGAGTTGTCAGGAGTGGGTGTAAGGAATCACTGGAGAAAGCTCTTGCACAATTCACCCACCCAACATTCCAGGCCATTCCTGAAACTTTTTGACCCTTGGGATATGCTTTTGGATGGGCAGACAACTGTGCAGGGGAGGAGAGGGTAGAGCATTCACTTTGCAGGAGCACTGCTTTGATTGCAACCTGTGGTGTTTAAGAAGAAAAGTAAAATTGAGCCTGTTGTTGTTGAGATAACTGTTGTTGCTCTTTTGACTCTTTTTATAATACGATCCTCTGAGATTTTATTTCTTTGTATGTTGGCAGGTAGACTGTAAATTGAACTGGAAAGCTCATCCCCTCAAATTTGGATGCAAATTGTGATTTTAATAAGGCTCTGCCTATAAGGCAAAGAACTCCCCAGTCATTTTTCTCAGTTTGTTTAACTGTATAGGGAAGGGGCCAAGGCCTCCCTTCATCTCTATTACTCCTGCAGACATGCATTTACTAGCTCAGTAATTTCCAAAGTGTATGCCAGGACAAATGAGTGTACTGTAACAGAACTGCTAATATAGAGCTTTCCAAACTTTTCATGTTGGTGACACACTTTTTAGACATGCATCATTTCACGACACAGTTTTACTAGCAACCCAGGGGTTAAACTAACCCTTTTCCAGCCTTGGGAGGAGCATGAGGAGCATTTGCATGACACACTTACAGGATGCAGCCGACATACTAATGTGTCATGACACACAGTTTGGAAAGCTCTGTGCTAGTATGCTGTAGTCATAATGAAGGTGTCTGCCACATCTCTGAACTGTATGTGATTGGTATAATTCAGTCATTGCTGTAATAGAGAAACACTATGAATTTTAGCCACTGGAAGGAAGTTCTCAGTTGTGTGTCTGCTTAAGTCAGTGCTCTCTGGGTTTGCCTCCTTCAAATTGCATGCAGCTCAGTGATGCTTAAAATACACAGGGGCTGGGCTTCTCTGGGGCTGGAACAGATTTCTGACAAAAGAATTCTCCTGTTTTTGAAATAAGTTCTTTTTATTTGTATGGTGCAGTAAAATCTAGTTGCTGCTGTGCTGTGGCTGGAGCAGGCCAAAAGCCCACTCAGATCCAGCATCCCACACTAGCCAGCTAGATGCTTATGTGAAGCTCGCAAGCAGGATCTGAATGCAATAGTCCTCATTTGCCATTCCCAGCTACTAGTGTACAGAGAATTCATCTGACAGTAGATACCACCTCTGTGTGCCGCAGTATGTTGTAGCTGCTCATGAGCAATACTGTGAACCTAAGTACCTCCTTGTATCATTCTTACACACTTAAAAAATAAGTGTATAATGTGTCTCTAATTTTATTGAAAATTTGGGAAACACTATTAATCTGCAGAGTAACTACTGTGGTGTTCTTCATATGTTGTGGGACTACAACTTCCGCCTTTATTTCTTACTGTTGGAAATGCTGACTGGGGCTAATGGGAGTTGGAGTTCAAAAGTATCTGGAGCACCACATGTTGTCTACTTGTAGATCAGTCTTCTCGGCCTGTAGCTTTTGTATCCTCTTAGCATCTTGCTTCTAGTTTCATAGTTGAGACATGGAAAGATGCAGCTGTTGCTTGGCTGAAAGACCAGGTGCCATTTGGCTCCTTCCTTCCCTGAACTGTTTGCATTTATACTGCTCGTCAAAACAACAGCTATGTGACTAAGAATTTGAGCCCTCAGTTTGCTTGTCTGAGACTTCATTCCCCATCCTTTTTGTGTCATGTCTTTTAATTTGCATACCTGCAGGCAGGGACAGACTCCCCCCACCTTTTAGATGTTAAAATGTAGGTGCTTCATAACTGATAATTAATAATATTTCACCCTTACTTCAGGTTAAAATAGTGATGATTACAAAATGCTAGCAGCAAGGGAGAGCTGCTACCTTGTGAGCTTCCCTTGTGAGCTTCCCAGAGGCATCTCATCGGTAGTCGCTAGAGATGGAATGCTGTACTAGATTGACCTGTGCTCTGATCCAGATTGGCTTCCCAGTGGTACCTCGCAAGACGAATGCCTCGCAAGACGAAAAACTCGCAAGACGAAAGAGTTTTTCGTTTTTTGAGTTGCTTCGCAAGACGAATTTCCCTAAGGGCTTGCTTCGCAAGACGAAAATGTCTTGCGAGTTTCTTTCCTTTTTCTTAAAACCGTTAATACCGTTAAAACCGTGCTTCGCAAGACGAAAAATTCGCAAGGCGAAAAAACTCGCAGAACGAATTAATTTCGTCTTGCGAGGCACCACTGTAAATCACAAGGAAATATAATAATAAGAATAAGAATAATAATTATACCCCGCCCATCTGGCTGGGTTTCCTCAGCCACTCTGGGTGGTTCCCAATCGAATATTACAAACACAATACAGCATTAAACATTAAAAACTTCCCTAAACAGGGCTGCCTTCAGATGTCTTTTAAAAGTAGGATAGTTGCTTATTTCCTTGACATCTGATGGGAGGGCAATCCATAGGGTAGGCGCCACTACTGAGAAGGCCCTCTGCCTGGTTGCCTGTAAGTGAGATACAGCAGCAGGCCACTGTCTCCTAAAAGGAAGAAAAGGAAGCATTTTTTCTGCTTATCCTCCTAAAAAATACACTAAATATGGGACACTAAATACTCTGAATTATGGGAACTAATTGTAGTGGTCTGTATAATGAGAAGGGAACCACTTTGGTGTTCTTCCTACATTGCTGGACTACTGTTCCCTCCCCTGCCACCTTAAATACTGAATCCACTCCATGGGAATAGTGTATCCACTCAACATTTGCTGATATTGCAGTGTTCAGCACAGTGTGCCCTAGAGTATATACCGGTAAGTCAAACACTTTGTAGTCTCTTAAGAATGTACTTAAAGTTACGAGGTAATAGTTGTGAACCCTATATTTTGTACTTTTCTTTTTCTCTTTTTAAAATTCATTCTATTTCATATGTCTTACTGGATTGTTATTTTTTCATAAAGGCATGACATTTTTTCAAAAAATACTTTTGCCATGTGCAGTGTGAATTGGTCAATACCAAGTGATGCAGCACTACAAAAGATGGGTTATGGGCACAGGCAAAGGAGCTGGTCAAAGGTAGAGGAAAGGACTTCAGTTCACTCCACACTTTGTAGCAAACTTCCTGTGACCACATCTGACAAAACATGCTTTGACTGTAATGTATATATGCAAAATAGATTAGAAGCCTGTGGACCTTTCTGAGCATGATCTGTTCCTACTTGGTTTTTTTAAAATAAGGTGGCCTGAAGGCTTCCTGTCACTTTTTTCCTTAATAAAAGCCAGCTTTAGCTGTTTGGAGCAGCTAGAAGGTGTGGTGCTTGCCATGTTTACTGAAAAACAGCCCTGGAAGAAGAAGAAGAAGAAGAAGAAGAAGAAGAGTTTGGATTTGATATCCTGCCTTTCACGCCCTTTAAGGAGTCTCAAAGCGGCTAACATTCTCCTTTCCCTTCCTCCCCCACAACAAACACTCTGTGAGGTGAGTGGGGCTGAGAGACTTCAGAGAAGTGAGACTAGCCCAAGGTCACCCAGCAGCTGCATGTGGAGGAGCGGAGATGCGAACCCGGTTCCCCAGATTACGAGACTACCACTCTTAACCACTACACCACACTGGCTCACACTGGAAGTGGCAGCACATTATAATATGCCACCACTTCCCAAGTAACTGTACTAAGAAAAATACGGCTGTTCCAATGCATCTATGACCTTTTCTCTGGAATGGAAGAGATTTAGGTAGGTAGGTCACTATTTCTATAATATCTCAATGTAAATGTATAGTCTGGTATAGCTAAAATGAACTTTGATATTAACTCTGAAGTACATCTATTGAAGTTTCCCCTATCGGATATCTTTTTGTTTTTGCAATTCAGAGCTTTAGAAAGCAATAAAAGAAAAGAAACTGAATATGTATTACATTGGAATGTTAATATATTATAAGTAATCTCTAAGAATACAAAACATCTGTTAAATGCTGAGCAACCTCTTGTTCAGAAATGGTATTGCTTCTCAAGTACTTCAGTGCAGTGTCAGAAACAGAATTTATTTAGAAAAACATAATAAAGCTTTTTCCCCCAAGGGGGAGGGGCAAAATGAATAATAAATGTCACATTTTCAGTGCATGTTTTTACTGATAACTTTATTTAGATAATCTGCTAGAAGAAATCTGTTACATTTTAAAGTATATTGTACATTTATTTGTAAATGCTTAGATATATAGCTAACTAAACATTACATAGTTACAATCTAGCTGCTTATATAATTCAATCTATGTGTGTTGCTGACAAGCATCAGGTTTGCATAATTACTTGTCTGTTACAAAGTTATGTACAAAGAGGAAATGCTGGGTTGGTTCACATGTATAGTGGATGCTCAGGTTGCGAACGTGATCCATGCGGGAGACACGTTTGCAACCCGCAGTGCTGTGTCTGTGCACGCGCAAAGCGTGATTTTGTGTTTCTGCGCATGCACGAGAGCCGAAACCCAGAAGTAACCTGTTCTGGTACTTCCAGGTTCGGCGTGGTGCGCAACCCAAAAACGCTCAACCTGAAGTGTCTGTAACCCGAGGTATGATTGTAATGCTAAGTCTATGGTTTAGCACTTCGTGGGTGAGCCACCAGCAAACCCCAGAAAAACCTCTTCCATTTGCAACAGATCCTGGTTCAAAACAAAAAAAAATGTTAATTGCTAAACAAGAAAATGTGAAACCATGGGTTATAAAGCTGCCTTGCTTAACTGCTGTTTGTTTTTTAACCAGGATTCCTGGTTTGCACATTAAACTAAATTGAGATTATTGAAACTGAAAGGAAATTGACAGAACTCCTTCCTCTTGGCTGTGCAAGAGGAGGAGATGGGAGCAAGGGTAGCTTGCAAGCCCAAGGGCCCTCTGAGACTTGGTTACATAGTGTTAAACCATGGGAACCAGCCAGCAGAGTAAAAGAATTACCAGATGCTTCATAAAAAGACAATTCTGCTCTCATAATTGATCTGTATTGTCACTGAATTGAATGTAAACTAGTTCTGGTTTTGTATTTGTATGTTCACATTAAACATTTGAATGTTGGTGAACACTGGGGCAGATTACATCCTAGATCCAGTTTAAATGCACTAAGCACCCTATAGAAAACTTACACTAGAAGCACATTTCTAATAGCCTTCTTTTTTAACTGACTATTGTTGCAGTATGTTTTTCTGAGCATATATTTGAATAATAAAGTATTTATAAAGCGGCAAAATTTGAATTATGGCCAAACCTGTTGTAATTGTGGACTTTTAATTATTTGATTGTAGCTGGTTCTCATAATGGAATCCTAACATTTTCTTAAAGTCCCGTCCAGGTCCTTTTACATCAGTGATGACTTTTACACTGGCCTCCCTAGGATTGTGACCATGCTTTTAACTTGTACTATATATGGCGTACCTAGGAAAAATAATATTCTCATTTGAGAATGTCATTATTCCATAATGCAGACAGTAAGTTCAATGATATCTGTAGCTAGAAATATATCACACAAGCAAAGTTGATACTGTGTGTTTGTATATATAGTTGAAAGTTTCTAATTGGGTAGGTAAGATATTTAGAATCGTTTTCTGTTCCAACATTGTCTGGTTTGAAAATATGGGAAGTACTTTTTCATTGTAGGTTGAAATTTGATAAATAAATGCCGAAAAATATGCAGACCTGCTTCACAAATCCCACAAATATTTTGCATTTTCAAAATGATTTTGTTTGCTTTTTTAAATGGGTATTTTCTCTATAAGAAAATAAATTGTCATAATACTACTATACCTTATAACCTCTTAATATACATAAGGGTCAAAGTAATCATCATCCCTTTCCCTTTGATTATGATCATGATCTTGTTCTTCGTGATCTTCTGCTTCTTCATACTCTTCTGGTGTTAAATATCTTTGGAACACTGGCGTTCTCAGCTGTGTTTGCTGGTTGGCATCAATTTTTTGTTCACCATAATAAATACTGCGTATATGTGGAAAGCAGAAGAAGGCATATGTACTTATTGGAGTGGTGAGCTTGTTGTGTTCCACTCGTAAGTAGGTTAAGTGATTGAGGTTCAGTGGATCAATAGTAGGACACATTAAGGTAACATTGATTACTGTAAAAAGATAAAGCAATGTGTTAAAAAGGTGGAACTATTAATTCTGAAATGCTGATTTGCTATCATAGAAGCAAAAATGGTACTCAGTATAATCCAACCAAGGAATGCTTTAAAAGGAGCTGATTTTTTCGTTCTGTAGTCATTTACTGCTAAGAGTGGATTCTGATACATTGATACATTATACAAGTCTCATTGATGTCAGTGATGTTTACCTCTGAGTAGAAATGTATAGAACTTTATGATTAGTTATGTCAGACTACCTGTAGTTAAGATGAAACCACTTCTTCACTTTAACAATATAAAGCTACAATTACATATCCACTTTCCTGGGAGTAAGCCCCATTGAACTTGGTGGAACTTAATTTCTCAGTAGATATGTACAGAATCACACTGTAACTTCTTTGTTTGTTTTTTAAGAACTATAACATGATTCTGTGAGGCTTTTAGTCTTATATATTGTAGGAATCTTTGCTTTCAAGCTTTTGTGACTCCCCGCCCCCACCTGTGATTTAACTAAGAACTAACATTGTATAACTTGAGCTTGTAGTAATGAAAGAGATTGCGCCATGGATATAAGAGTGCTATTATGAGACAGAATGCTAAGATGTTAAATGAAAGCAATTCATTTAACAGTGCTAGACCATGGTTGGTTGGTTGTAAGTTAGAGGTCAAAATGTACTTTAGATTTTCAACTATGACTGGTGCAAACTATGGTTTTGCATGGAGTCTGAGTTGAATCAATTTGGGAATATGAGAATCTTGGGAATAATGGGTATCTGTGCTAAGCAGGTGATGAAGCTTGTAGAATAATAAGGTATATGGACTGCTGCTCCCCCCTCCCTTTCATTTTTCACACAATAGCATTTACCACCAGGGTTGGCTGAGTGCAGTCTTACCTTGCAATCATGACAACACACATGGCATGTTGCTTTCTTCATTACAACCCATGCAGAATAACTTTGAACAGATGCCATAAAGGATGTGAGGTTTGCAACTTGCTACATGAGTGATGATAAAGTAATAATTTTGTTTTTCCCCCTGTGTCTTTGCTGCAGTACAGTATTGTCTCAAATGCATATTCAAACTTTCACATAAAATAAGATAAAATCAAATCTTTCTCACATATGCTGACAATAAGGTGCTATATTTCACTCTAGTTGCTAGACAATATTAGAACATTCATAAGACAATCCAATAATAATTAAAATTCTCAATGAATACTAAAAAAGCAGCTTTAAAAATAGCTTAGACAGCTGCTGGATACAGTCTGATCACAGATGTAGTATCCACAACTGGTGGATCCCTGCAGATACCAATAGAGTCATTACCCCTGTCAATGTTGCAGAATGACATGGAAACATTGCAAGAAATGTTAAGTCTGTGCAATCCTCCTATGTCCTCACCTGATCCTTCATCTATATGCCATTCAAGTTATTTCTACTTGAAACTGAACAAATACATTCTTTTAAAACAACAGAAGGAACATTGGTGAAATTCTTCTGGGGGAGCCTCAGCAATACCAGCAAAAAATACCTTTTTCTTACTACTAATCTTTTTTACCTCGATGCAAGGCAACTCATACATGAAAAAATGTCCTATTTGGTACATACAGACCTCAACCTCAACACGTGCACCTTTAACAACTCTATAATCCATTGCAATGGCTGCAATTCTGGCTGAATATCTTAGGCCCATCAGAAGATGAGCTGCAGCTAGTGTATTGGATGAAGTATTTTATTAAAGACCCCTGCTTATATAGGACTAAAACTAGGTTCAGGAGAAATAAGCTATATGCTTGGTCTGATAGGGTTAGATAACCCAGTGATTACTAGCAAGCCTATCTCTTGCAAAGAACCAGATTTCTTTACTAATATTACTTCTGTCTTGTCATGATTTTTATTTACTTTTGTAAAGAAGAAGCAACTAGTAAGAGCAAATAATAATAATAATTTGACTTCAACTTTGCCCACTCAAACTTTAGCTTTAATCAACTCAACCACAACTCAACCAAAGACAGAAACCAGGGCTGCTGGAAAGGCTGTGGTTTTCAGTTCATATTTTATTTTTTAAACCATTAAGTTTTCCAGTTTCTCATTTGTTTCCTTCTACGCATCTACCTTGGTCTTACACAACAGTCTGAGAGATCATGAGAAACTTGTATTGGTCTACATATATCCATTTATTTATTTTGTTTACTTCAAACAGGAAATTTCTTCTTCTTCTTTGGCAATAACTCATAGCTGGGTAAGATTGTTTTCCATGAACATGGTCTTAACCATGAGTCCGTAAGTGACTGTGGAGGCCAATTCTGGACCACACGTTCTTCCACAGTGGGGACATAGGTTTCTGGGCAGGAGTTGATCATAGTGAGAGTTTGCCAAACATGCCTTCCTCTTAGCACTTTTAAAAAATATATTACATTTTTTAATATTACGTTGCCTTGCTCTAACTTCTTTGCCTTGCTCTTCTAAAAATATTTTAGAAGAATAGGGTAGATATTCCACCATTTATGCTCTAACTTCTCTGTCACCATGCATAGCTAACAGTATGAAGAATGGTTAAAAACTAATATTAACTTTACAGAGACTAGATCATTGAAAACAAAGGATTACATTACAGAAATAACTCTTTAAAATAGTAATTCAACCAACCTTCCATGTCATTGTCTTCTATGTACAAATGCTGCAGGGTTCTTGGAATGTAGAATACTTGCTTTAGTTTATTGTGCCCAAGATTGAGTTCCACAAGATTAGAAAGGTTAAAAGCATTATAAGGAACTTCATGCAGATTGTTGTGTGTCATTCTTATAGCAGTAAGCTTTGGAAGTTTCTGGAAATAATTATCTGGAATGAGAGAAATCGAGTTATTTTCAAGGGAAAGATGCATAAGTGAAAATGGTAGATCTGGAGGCATTGATTGAAGTCTGTTGCTGCAGAGGTTGATCTGCATTAGGTTTTTCATCTTTGAAAAATGTGTTTGTTTCAGTTGAGAATCTTCAAGGTGGTTATTGCAGAGGTCAAGCATAGTCATGTTTACTAAACCTTCTAGGTCTTTGCTGGGCAACCTGGAAATCTGATTGAAACCGAGGAGCAATCGTTCTAAGCTTCTAGGTAGAGGGGATGGAATTTCTTCCAGCAGATTGTGTTCTAAATGGAGTTGTACTAGATTTGAAAGTTTGCCAAAGACACCTATGTCAATCATGTGAGACTTAATTTTGTTGTGGCTGAGGTTAATTTCTTTCAGGGCAGTAGCATTAACAAAGGATTCCACAGGCACAGCTTCAATGTCGTTATTCTGTAGATAGAGTTGCTGGACGTGACTGGGAATTCTCGGTATAGTCTGAAGTTTACGATTATCACAGTACATTGTTAGTGGGAAAGTTGGTGGGCAAAAGCATTCTTTGGCACACTGAGCAGGTGTGCTGGGATAAGGAATGGCGTATTCTATGCTAGGAATATGATGAAAAATGGATGGATATTCATTATCCATTTCATTATCATAGTCATCCTCATAGTCATATTGGCAGAACACTGGGACTCCAAAGAGGAGAGTGATAGTTAACAGTTGACTCAGGATTCCCATATTCATGTTCTGATCAGATATCCTGTGGAAACAAAACAAAACAAAACAAAATGTATTAATAAGACTGTTGTGTAATTGGCAAAATTATGTTGTCATTTTTTAATATTGTTTTGTCTGAGAATTAACCATTGTACGGTTTTGAGACTAAAACATACTTTAGGCTTGGGGCTAAAATACTGTGTATGGTTTGAATCAGAACATTTCTTGGTAAATTATTATATAATAGTTGAAATGTTTTTCAACTACTTTTAGCTAAATATGAAAGAGATCTGCTACCTCTTAACTAGCAACTATTTTCAAGTCTTCCAGATAATTCAGAGCTCAACTGCAAACCTAAGAACTGTTGATGATAATACATGAACTCTTCACAGCAAAAATAAATGAATCAAAATGTCCTAAAAAGTGTATTAATTTGACATTTTTATTGCCTGTTCTTGCGGATCACCCCATTGCTTGTGTTGGCCACTTTCTTTCAGGTACCTTGCCACTGCAGTATGAGGAGAAGATTTGTTGACATAAAATGTTTGTTATTTCCCTTCCTAAACATTTTTGTTGGCACAATAATTATTTGGTTGTTGGTATCCTGACATATACATTAAATACATTACTTTAGTATGTAAGTGTATGAGACTAGAGGTTTGTAAGTCATGTTTTGTGTTGAGGAAGTTCATAGATAAGGATATATTCTGAAACTTTTTTCTTTTGCCACCCAGTTTTTAAATATTTTTTTTGTTTCTAACCTTTCAAAATTCAATAGCATACTGCACATCTATTTAAACTGTAAAACATATACTGTACAACTACTGAGCAGATGAAAGAGTAAGCTAAATAATAGGGGAGAAATACATTACTACAAGCTATATTTTGTGGTGTCCAGTGGAAAGGAAAGGAAGTTGCGGCAAAAGATCCTTTAAGGAAACTTTGTGACTTGCTGGCAGTATAAACACAGTTGATGTAACCCAGCTATATGACAGGTCTTCTGAAAAGATGCCATATAAAAATTATTTACTGCCTCAGAAATTTAATGTAGTTTGGTTCTAAGAGAAATATACAGGCATAACTGTCAAATGGCATTTATTTCCACGTGTTTCTCAACAGCTCAAGCACTAAAGTGATGGCAAGGAAAGGAATATTCATAGTTTAGCTTCTGTGGTAGAAGGGAAAGTTGTGGGTTTGGATTAAAATTTCACTCCAGCTATAGAGACAGAAGTAATAGGTTGAGGATTAGAAGACGATTTGGAAGAGATCCCAGGAACTAGGGAAGCTTAGGTCAGAGAGTTCAGAGGCAGTGCTGGGAAGCAGGGGATCAGAATATATACTAAAGTTTCTTGCTGCTCACCCACTGCTTGATCTGAGAGAGGCATCTGTGGAAAGAGTGGATAAAGGAAACAGAGGTCCAGGGAAGTATTTACACGACTAAACGACTAAACAACAACAACAGGTCAAAACCAGCACTTTGAATTGGGCATGGAAACTAATTGGTAGCCAGTGCAGTCAGGTCAGGATTGGTGTAATATGCTCAAACTATCTTGCCCCAGTGAGAAACCTGACTGCCAAATTCTGCACCAGTTTCTGAACTGTCTTCAGAGGCAACCCTATGTATAATGCATTGCTATAATCTAACCTGAAAGTTACTTTAACTAGAGCATAGACAACATGAGTTAGGATATCCCTATCCAGATAGCAATGTATCTGGGCCACCAGCCAAAGCTAATGGAAAGCACCTCTGTGCATAAGAGGTCCAGAAGGTGGCAACATGAGAACAGTTTTTTTCTGCAGTGGAATTCCCATATGTGGAATGTTCTCCCCAGGGTGGCTTGCTTGCCCCCTTCATTAAAATCTTTAGGTGCCAAGTGAAAGTGTTTCTCTTTAACCAGTTGTTCAGCTGATCAATATTCTATGGCTTTATAAAACTGTTGGGGGGGCGGTTATTGGTTTGTTTTTGTTTTATTGTGTACTTTGTTTTCTCATTTTGTATTTGTATGAGCCACCCTGGGATCTTCGGATGAAGGGTGGTTTACAAATAATATCAGTAATATCAAAACCTGCCAGGAAATCAACAATAAGCGATAGGCCATAGTCCTCCTGTTTCTCTCCTGATAAAGATGATTACTCGTGTAACAAAGGCTGCCTCAGTGCCATACTCAGGCCTGAAGCTAGAATGAAATAATAGACTCATAGAACCATAGTTGTAAGGGACCCAAGGGTCATCTAGTCCAGCCCCCTTCCATGCAGGAATCTCAGCTAAAGAATTCATGACTGATGGCTTAAAAACCTCCAAGGAAGGAGATTCTACCACCTCTCATGGGAGTCTGTTCCACTGCCAAACAGCTCTTACTGTCAGAAAGTTTTTCCAAATGTTTAGTCAGAATCTCCTTTTATGTAACTTGAAGCCGTTGCCTCGAGTCCTACCCAGAGCAGGAAAAAACAAGCATGCTCCATCTTCCATGTGACAGCCCTTAAGATATTTGAAGATGGCTATCATATCTCCTCTCAGTTTTCTCTTTTCCAGACTAAACATGCCCAGTTCCTTCAAGTGTTCCTCATAAGGCTTAGTTTCCAGACCCCTGATCATCTTGGTTGCCCTCCTCTGCACACGTTTCATCTTGTCAACATCCTTATTAAATTGTGGTGCCCAGAACTGGACACAGTATTCTAGGCGTGGTCTGACCAAGGCAGAATAGAATGGTGCTATTACTTCCCTTGATCTGGACCCTATACTTCTGTTGATGCATCCTAGAATAGCATTAGCTTTTTTTGCTGCTGCATCACACTGTTGACTCACGTTAAGGTTGTGGTCCACCAAGACCCCTAGATCGTTTTCACATGTACTGCTAGTAAGACAGGTGTCCCCCGTCCTATATTTGTGCGTCTGGTTCTTCCTGCCTAAGTTCCGTAATCTGTTAAGGTCATTTGGAATTCTGATTCTGTCTTCTGTGGCATTAGCTACCCTTCCCAGTTTGGTGCCACTGGCAAATTTGATGAGCATCCCATCATTTCCTTCTTCCAAGTCATTTATAAAGACATTGAACAACAATGGGCCCGGGACAGAACCCTGCGGCACCCCACTTGTCTCTTTTTTCCAGGATGGTGAGGAATCATTAATGAGTACTCTTTGGGTTCGGTCAGTCAAGGAGCTACAAATCTTCCTGACAGTTACCTTGTTTAACCCACGTTTCACCAAAATCCTCCTGACAGTTACCTTGTTTAACCCACTGCTTCCTCCAAGCACGTCTGAAGCTGACTGTACATGACCATCTCAGTCATCTTGCCCATGAACAGGACATTTACATGAGATGCAGAGAAGTGTTTGGATCCTAACCAAGGGAAATCTTACCCTATCAATAATATTACCTGACGCTTTAACATTTAGTATATGATTCATGTTTTTAGTTTGCATCAGTTGATGTACCAGTAATCTGCTCTTTTTATCGCTGACTTCCCACAATGTTGGTCAGCAACATTCTTAAGAGAAATCATTTCTTCAAGATGTGGAAAGAGTTAAATGTGGTTTTTAGTTTTCTTAAGTTTCTCCAGAGATCAAGAGTAGGTCTCGCACAGGACATTAGGGCAGCAGTCCTAAACCCACTTAGCTGGGTGTAAATCCATTTGATTCAACTTTTGAGTAATCACGTATAGGATTATGTTGTAAATCTATTCTCTTATGGTTTTCTTCTTTCTATAGCTGGGCCTGTCCCATAAAGTCTGATGTACAGCCACTGCTGAATTGATGTCCCTGACACTAGAAATTTCATGTCTTGCTACTAATACTAAAAGTATCTAATACTCAGTTTCCAGTTAATTCAAAAGGAGACATTACACAAAAATAAAATGGACCAAGAAACAGGAATATGATCTGATATTGCAATAGGACCAGAATTATGAAATATGTTTAGCTATTCTAATTCAGAATATATTTAAAGTCAAGCTGAGAAGTGTTTATGAGTTAAAAATATAAAACTATAAAACTACAATACTGTGCAGTTAGTTGTTTTCACTGGCAAATACCACAAAGCATGCTTTTTATCTAAATATCAATAATGCATGCAAAACTACTAGTAGTTCCCTCTCAACATTAAAAGATAAGATATTAAATCAATTTAAAGACAATATTGGGACCATAGCTATATTTATTTTACTGTATTCTATCTTCAAAGTAAATGTCTACTGTACAAGCTCAAATGCTAAAAATGAAAAAAATATTTCCTAATTCAGCTGTTGAGGTGACTTGAGAAAATTGATATCCTAATCTAAATAATCTGTATTATTATTTCTTTATAAAGAAGCTCTCTAGACTTCTATAGCATTTACTAGGGCTCTGATCTTACAACTTTCTGTGATACCATTATTAGTGAAATCCTTCCAAGCATATTAAACAACATTTTCGTAATATAGTCACACAACACTCTGCCTTCCGTTCTTCATACAAATCCAATATACCACAGCTCCCGAGGGACACTTCTTTAAGGCTGTATTCTCTTTTCTCCTTAGCAACTTTCCCCTTTGTCTTTTCCACTTCACTTTAAACACCTTCCCTTCCAAAAATGAAGATAATGAGGTCAAAAGCTTACTTTTTGTGTGCAAAAAGAAGACGATACTTCTTTCTTCTCAAGCTTTGGTACTATAGTGGCTGTTCACCTACACTCTCCTTTGTTACAAGTCCAGCTTCCTCATATCTCATCTTTTTCTTATCTAGATTTGGCCGTACAATATTAGCTTTTAAATGTTGACATATATTTCCCAGTTCTCATGCTTCCTAATTTGCTATTCAATTCTTCTGATGTTGAATTCATTTTTGTTAATGAACTGATTCTATTAGCATGTGAAAAACAACTGAAAATTGTGTCACGTTGATTGAATAGGTCAAAAGTATTATTTACTTCAATCAACTTACTCTTACTCCTAAATAAAAGACTAATAACTTGATCCTCACATAAGTGGCAGTAATGAAGACAAGGGCATGCAACATTGCAACTAAAACAGCGTCTGGGGTGCTAGTCTAGTAAAACATAGCCAGTGTGGTGTATTGGTTAAGAGTGTTGGACTATGACCTGGGAGACCAGGCCTAAATCCCCATTCAGCCATGAAGCTCACTGGGTCACCTTGGGTCGGTCATTATCTCTCAGCCTAACTTATCTCACAGGGTTGTTATGAGGATAAAATGGGGAGCGGAAAAACATGTACACCACCTTGACTTCCTTGGAGGAAAAGGTTTTATATAACTGTAAAAAAGAAATAATTAAAACAGCTCCACTCAGCATGCCTTTCCAACCCACCAAGATGAAATAAAATGCTGGCACACCATTTTGCCAGCACTGATAGAATGGAGTTGCTTTGATAGTTATAAGAGGCATCAACCTCACCACTACCTGAACTACCTTCTTGTTTCCCAAAAGCATTGATCCTCCCCCACAGCAAAACTGACATCACCATTTCTCCAGAGCAGGGGAAATATTTCAGCAAAGTAGACTGGCAAAAGATGGAATGTAGGGTGTGGTTTTTTGGGTGGGGCGGGGGTAGTGAAATAAAATCAGACTATTAACTGTTTATTGGGGATTATGCAATATTACATAATTTTCCAGTTGCCAGAGTTCTGTTTTCTGTTATATCTATGCAACATGGTCAAGAACATTTTAAGAGATCACCAAATGTTAATTCCTGAATTTAGTGACTAATCAGAGTAATTTATTTATATTTATACATAAATATGTCTAACCGTATACATTTGAGCAAAAGGTTTTATGTATCACTGAGTATCACTGGATGCTTCCAATGATAAAACTACATGACAAATATAATTAGATGAAATGACACTGGATATACACCAAATGTATATAATCAATGAGCATGATAATTGGTTAATAAGGTTGTATAATAATCTGAAGCACGTTACCAGTAAGAAGATAGAAGTATTTAAAACAAATAATTTCCTACCTCTAAATTATTTTGTAGTTTTCAGCCAATGAATATGCAGCAAGCTTTAGAAAGTGTCAGATGGTGCTTCCCTTAAAATCCATAGTCACAATATAAGAAGTATCTAGTTCAGAATATGAGTACTTGATGAAATGTAATTTACTGCAAAAATCCTCCGGAGACGCTTAAAATGCTGCTTGTTGCACAAAATAGTTTATTCAAATAAGAGTATACTTTTACCCTAGTGAAATTATGTGGCTTTAGCCTGCTTTCTCTAATGTTTGGTTTGAGGTGTGGCAGGAATTTCCTTCACTTGAAGGGGTGGCTCAAGATTATTTTTAGCATGATCCATCCAACTCTGTTTGTTTTATTGTCAGTGCCAATTCTTGTGTCCATTCAGTTTGTTTACTGCCTGAAAGTCCAGTTAAGTATATTACCATTCTCTCCTTTTAAGGACACTTACTGTTAAATTATATCAACATATTTACATTGCTAACTATTTGACATTCTTGTTATAAGCTAAATCTTACAGCTAGTGCAAGCATGATCATCACTTGATTCCTTCTGATTTGTGATTCCTGAATAGTCTATGACTCACATCTGGATTTATTGATTGCTCCATTGTAACACACTGTCATAATCTACCACCACATCAAGCTAAATGCATTTCAGCAATTCATTTCATTGGATTATAATCCTTGTTGAAATAAATTAGTCACAACTCATTTTTTTATATTGATTTCAGTGGGACCTAAATGTAGCTAACATATTCTGGATATACAAATGGTTCAAAGCATGTTTAACACTGTGATCCTATACATGTCATTACTGTGGTACCTAGGGTTACATACGCTTCAGGTTACATACACTTCAGGTTACAGACTCCGCTAACCCAGAAATATTACCTCGGGTTAAGAACTTTGCTTCAGGATGAGAACAGAAATTGTGCAGCGGTGGTGCGGTGGCAGCAGGAGGTCCCATTAGCTAAAGTGGTTCTTCAGGTTAAGAACAGTTTCAGGTTAAGAACAGACCTCCAGAACGAATTAAGTTCTTAACCCGAGGTACCACTGTACTACCCACCTTATAAAGTCTGTTTGAGTGCTGGTGACATTTTCTGCTTTTAACTGTCCCTCTTCTCCTTTATTGAAGAAGGTGGTTAACATCTGTTTGCAATTTAATTCTAAAGCACTCTTCCCCAATGATTGCAACCCCCTATCATCTTGGTATGACAGTGGCCAGGAATGATGGAACTTAGTCAAACATTTGGGGACCCAAGTTTGAGAAATGATGCTCGAGAGTTTCCCAGATAATGTAGACTTCTCTATTTCTTACCACTTGTTAATCTTTCGGATTGGTCAGAGATTCTTTTGTTAGCTTGAGTGGACCTTCTTTACTTGAAGGCAAAACACAAAAATACAACCCTATTGTTAAACATCTCAGCAGAATTCAGTACAATTGACATGGGGTTAATGGCACAACTCTTTATTGGAACCACCCTGTTAGGTAGAAATGGAACTACAGAGTACCGGTAAATGCTGCATACTCACAAGATTTCCAGAAATCTTCATGTGCTCTTCTAATCTTCCTAGTCTTCCTAGTCTATTTATGTCACAAATTAAAGCTGCAGTCATAGGCCCACTTACTTGGGAGTAAGATCCATTGCACTCATTGGGACTTTATTTCTAAGTAGACATGTATAGGATCACTCTGTTAAACATGCTTTGAACAATAACAGTGCATCCGGAAGATGTTACTCACATTTAGGTCCCACTCCCTGCTGTCGCCTCCTCTGACAACAAACTTTTGTCTATCTAGCTGCTTATGTTTGCTCATACTAAGCAACCTGCCAGCACTGGAGAGAAAAAGACTGAAACTGATCCAGACAAACACAACAAGAGGCAGCTAATGATCTTTCTGGCATAGACTGTATTAATTACTGTTCAAGCTGGAAAGGATGTAACTTATCACAGCAGGCTCTTGGCAGTTTTAACTCTGGGTGGACAGTCCAACATGACCAGGACTGAATAGCCTGCTAGTCACCTGAAAGAGCTCCTCTGGATGACACTGAGCAGATGGAACAACTTCTTACAGTGGAAGAAAAACATGGTATACAAATGTAATAAATAAATAACATTACGACAAACTAGATCAAAATATAATAAAAACCAGTAAAAGTAACAACACCAAATAAAGTTTTATTTTGAAAAAGGTCGTTTGAAACTCTATGTTTGGGCTATTTTTGAAAGCTCACTAAAAAGTAGACAGATGGTCCTTTCTGGGAAGCATATTCCAAATTGGAACTTGCCTGGAAAAGTTGACCAGAAGAAATAAGTGAAATATTATTATTAACACTATTATAATTTATTACTGACCCTTCACCCTAACATTAAATTACCATTCATCACTCCATTTGTCATTACCCTGTGAATACCTGGATTCTTGCCTCTCAAACCCTCCCTATGACACAATCAATTAGGCTGGTTCATACCTGGAGCCTAATGGATCCAACTGGCTTGCACAATTCTACAGGGGAAATTCTATTATGAAAATGTTTTCACAGCAACCCCTAAATTCCATACCCTCCTGTACAAAAGTATGTATAACTGAAATAGTTTCATATTCGTGGTGTCTCTATTCCTGCATCCATTTCCCTCCCCTTTCTATGTAATCTTCTCTGTTTTATGTATTGATTGCAAATCTCTTGAGACAGGAACACAGCCATACATTTTAAAAAGTTGTGCATATAGTTTGAGCTATATAAAATAAGGATTATTCATGTTAATGGTTATCCTGTGGATAGTATAAATGAATTATGAAATACAAGGCTAACCTCAGGAATAGACATGGTAGTTCCTAGACATCCATATCTACTTTGCCATCAGGACATCACTAAAGAGTGCAGATGGTGAAAACCCCATGTTCTATATGGCCAAACAAAACACAGAGCCTATTTGAAGACCTAAAACACTCTTTTTCTTCTAATGAGCTCAAGGTGGTATACATGGTTCTTCTCATTTCCCCCTCACAGCAACCTTGTGAGGTAGGTTAGGCTAAGAGATGGTGAGTAGCTCAAGGTCACTTAGCGAGTAATGTGTGGTTTAAGTTGGTTTGATAACCTACTTGAATTATAAAACAGCAATTTTTAAAATGCATCAATAAAACAATTGAATTGTCTGCTGGGATTGCCCCATGACTGATATTTGCCACTCAAGCCTAATGCTGTACTGAGTATTCAGTGACACTGTCTGGGGCTGGACCAACTCTGCTCTCCTAGCTTCATATAGCCAGCAAATACCAGGTCAGCCATTTCATTCACAATCAAATAATGTAAGATGGTTCCTGGCTTGCATTTATGTGCCACAGATATTTAACAGTAGATTAAGATATGCAGTAGTTGAATTTTTGAATTTTAAGACAGAAGTATTAAAATGTGTTGGAGCGACATATTTCCTGCCCGGCAGATGGGTGGGATGATGCACTCATAACATTTCATTTTAAAAATCATTTTCACAATTTCCATATCTTGTGCTGTACTAGGTAGACCTGTGCCCTGTTCCAGCAGGGTTCTCCTTACATTTTTATCAATACAAGTTTTACTATGTTGCCTGAATTATTTTTGGAAATTCAGTAGTATGCTTTAAGACAGAAATATAGGATTGGATCCTAACACTCTGTGAGCAGATTTCCACTAACAGGGTGTTCCTATTGGTGGAAAGGCAGTATGTGACCCTCCCCTACCCCAGCAGCCATGTGTGTCCTAAAAAAGAATCTGCTTCATACGGCTGGAGCACTCCCTGAAGCATCCATCATAGGAGATGGCTCTGGGGGCTGCCAATGAAAACTGCTTCTCCTCTTCTGGCAGCAGGCACCTCCATTGTATCAAGAGTCTCTTCTGTCAACAGAAGGAAGACTTCCATTAATGGAAAGGTAATTCACATAGTAAACAAAACACTTGTAGTTAACATAAGAACATCATGTTTCAGATATCTCTATCTGATCTTATTAGTTCAAATGCTGAAATAAAAAAGTAAGAGCAAAAGTTTGAAATTAGCAAATCTGTGATATGCCATTTTAGTAGGAGTTGGGGAAAGTCTTCAAAGCAACAAATGACAAGCTAGTGATATCAATTTGTCACAAAGTAGCCATTATTTATTTATTTATTTATTCATTCATTCATTCAGTCATTTATAAACTTCTACATCAAAACAATAAATATATCAATATTTTGTAATAGTAAACCTCTTCTTGTGATCAAACAGTGCATGCCCTACATAAATATCTCTCTGTGGGAAATGTTGGTGTCATCAATCATGTTTATATTTAAAAGAATTATTTGTTTATTTAACATTTCTATCCTGCCCATCATTACAAAATGGGTCATAACTATAAAATTCATCAAATATAAGATTATGAAGCAAATAATTCATTACAATTTATTAGGTGGCAAGGTCCTAAGCTGCTTAGGGCTTTTCACGTCAAAGGCAGCACCTTCAATTGAGCTCTGTGATGAAAAGGCAGCCAGTGCAAGTATTTCAGGACCTGTGTTGTCCAAGATGGCTGTATGAGTTCATATAACACCTTTGCAGCTACATTTTGTACTTGTTCCACTCTATGAACCATCTTCAAGGACAACCCTCATAAAATTCATTACAATAGTCTAGCTGGGAAATTACAAGGATATGGATTTCTGTGGCCAGGCTATACCTGTCCAGGAGTGACTGCCTTTGATCTGCAGCTGAAATAGGCATTCCATGCCACTGTAGCCACCTGGGCATTCACTGACAAGTTAGAATGAAGAAATACCCTCAGTCTACACATCTACTCCTTTGTGTGGAATGCATCCAGAATGGCCTGCTCCCAATAACTGCAAATCTACAACACTTTTTTGTGTTGGAATTCAGTGTCAGTTTATTGGCTCTCATTCAGTCCACTGCTTCTAGGTATCAATTAAGTACCTGTACAGCTGCACCTGATTTCAATAGAAAAGGAAGAGAGCGCTGGGGGTGACCAACATACTAGGGAAGCCTCACTCCAAAACTCCCTGAAAGGTTTCATATAGAGGTTAAATACCATAGGGAACAAAATGGATCCCTGCAGGGCCCCATGGCACAACTTCCAAGGAACTGAGGAGAGGTCCTCCACTGTTATTTTCTGGAACTAGTCCAATGGGTAGGAACTGTAGGGTGCTGCGAGAACTCTGTAGTGTCATGCCTTTAACTCCCAATCCATAAAGTCATTC